CACACCTGACACCTTATCCTATTTAGTAAATGTTGACATTTTACCGAATTTGCTTGAGATATTTTAATAAAGAAAATATTCCACGTACAGTGAAAGCAGAGGGGCAGCAAAGAAGAGGAAGGCCCGGGATGCGATGGGCGCAGTGGCTGCATCAATGGGCTCAAGCAGAAGCACAATTGTGAGGATGGCGCCGGACTGAGCAGAGTTTCCTTCTGTTGTGCCCTGGGCTCCTATGAATGTACATTAACTGTTCCGTGGAAGTGAATTAATATACTCATGTCACTCCACTCAATGGCACCTAACCACAACAGCACAGAGTCAAAGAGTGATGAATACCCCTCCCTTATTTCCTTCTCTTCCTACCTGCACAACAACTTCTGTCCACAGCATGAGATGTGTCCTTGGCATCCATGTGCGTGTCATCTAACTATGTGTTGACATTAAAAAGGAACATGTGAGTTTAAAAATGAAATGCTACCTGATTTTTATACCCAAGAGCTTTTGTATTTTGAGTATATGACTGTTGGTATATGTAGGCTTACTGTTAATCCATTTGAAGTGAACAGTATTTATTTTTGTGCATGTGTTGTAGTTGTTGTGGTTGTTAGGCCAATTCAGAATGAAACACGGCCTGGTCCTATGACAACTTCATAATTGTTGTGTTTGAACCCATTTTTTGTAGCCATTGTGTCGATCCATCTTGTCAAGGGCCCTCCATTTCATCCCCCGGAGACCCTCTACGTTACCAAATCATTGACACAGCAGCTTGCCCTCCCTGCTTTGGGCTACACTTCTTTCAAGGCAAATTTGTTGCCACTTCTGGCAGTCTTTGGTACTTTGAATATTCTCTGCTGACCTCATATTTAAATGCATACATTCTTCTTCGTCTTTCTAGTTCCTTGTCCAACTCTCACATGCCTTTGAGGTGAAGGAAAACAATATGACTTGGGCCAGTTGCATCGGAGTCCTCAAAATGAGGGCTTTTCTGGCAGCTAATTTGCTCCATGCAGTACATCCATCGATTGCATGACTATTTCTGTGAACTTTGGTGGTGGGTCAAATAAACTGCAATCCTCAACAACTTCAATTGTTTCGTTCTTCATCATGTAGTTGTCTATTGGTCCGGGGTGAGGAATGTTTTTCTTTATGCTGAATTGCAATTCATCCTGAAGGCTGCCATTTTTTATTTTTTGCAACAGTGCTTCAAGTCTTCCTCAATCAAGGTTGTGCCATCTGTGTATAACAGGATTTGTTGGGGGGGGTGTTGTTGTTGTTGTTTGTTTGATTTCTCTTTTTCTTTTCTTTTAATACTTTTATTGGGGGCTCTTACTTCTCTTATCACAATCCATATATTCCTCCAGTGTGTCATTTGTACATATGCTGCCATCATCATTTTCAAAGCATTCTCTTCCCACTTGAGTCCCTGATAATATATAACAGGTTTTTAATAAGCCTTCCTCCAATAATGATGTCGAGTTCTTCTTCATTTAGCCCAGCTTCTCAGATTATTCACTCAGCATACAGATTGAATACGTATGTTGAAAGGATACAACCCAGATGCCCACTTTT